CAATTGATGACGCAGTAAATTATATGATTAATAATTACTTTACGCCATGTTTTGATCTTGCCTCCGTCTTCTTTTAACCAAACTCCATTTTTGTTTTTTCTTTCGTCACACGACACGAAGTCTTTGACGCAGCAAAGTATACAAATTATTAGGCGGCCGTTTACACTAACAACCTTTTCCTTTTGACATGATCGTTGATTTCAATGAAATCGTCTATATGTTCGGAGAAAGCAATACGCGATAAATTATAGTGTAACAAAGGTAATCAATGGAATGGTTCTCAAAAAAAAAGTGGTAAATAACGACATGAAGGTCGAATTTGGCCCTTAGCTATTTTTTTTGAGGATTCTTTGCCATGCCGCTATGAGTAAATGGGTCAATGCGTTCTTTAAGTTCGAAGCGGCGGAGATCAACGTAATTAAATCTCCGAAAGTCTATTTATTATAACGATATTATTTAGTAATCGTAAATCGGCTTTTAATCAGAATGAATTGATATTACATGGAGTACGCTCGAATGAAATAGGATTAAGTGCTTAACCACTCGGAACTACGCACAGGGGCAACCTGCTTGAATGTCACCTATAATTAAAGTTTAAATACTAGTTCGTTTACATCAGTTAGTGACGGTAACTACGGCCTTGAGCTGGGATCTAAGAAACGTTTTACAGTCACTCAGTAGCCGATATTAGTTACAGAAAAATCACCTGCGAATCCTAGGTATGTGAGAAAAAAGCAGTAAAATAGAACTTAAAATTTAGCTTACACCCACAGCAAGTCAAATTGAGTGAACAGAGGCAATGGTAGCGGTTGACCACTAATACGGGCCGAGAAGACGTTGTGTGGTCCGACACAGAGCCACTTACACGTAATTGCCCCTTTTTAAAACAAAAGACCTGTTTAGAGGGGCTGAAACTCCTTCTGTTTTTTATGTTGACCACTAGACGCTACTTCCAGCAACGAAAGGCTCTAATTGTACGAAGGAGAAAATCCTTCTACTGGATCCAGCTACATTAGTGGGGGAGGAGGCGTTAGGGCAACTAATATACGAGACCTGAGGGTAGCTACCAAAACAAACAAAATCTGCTTTCGCTTAATATGTCAAAAATGTATTACGTGGTTACAATATGTTTACATTTCTGGCAGCTACATATGTTGCGTTGTTTAGCTTCATGAGCTTTCCAGAACTCGAGATGTTTTAATTTACGCCCCTTTCAATTTAACGTAATAACGTTTTCCGGTAAACGTTCATACTAGCGCAAATCACAGTCTAACAATATTAGGGATAAGACACCCACACAACTTGACATGGCAATCTTTTTTATCTCAGCTCACCTCTGCCACCAGGAGTCATGCACGCGTTACAAACGACTATAAAGTCTCTAATGAAGTTCTAAATACTGCGTGTTCGATCGTCCATTATTAATATTGAAATGAAAGCAACTTTCTAGTCATTTTCGTCAAACTTGTCATTTAATGTTTATCTACACTTTCATCTATTAGTATTTATTTTAGCTAGCTGTAGAAATGTACGTTTGTAGCTATCCAGTTACGATTTTCCTGTTCCATTAACTGCGTTGACCCGATGCAGCCATCCCACTATGACGATTAAAAATCCTTGATCAAGACAATCGCTTACGTTGTTCCGGTAACCCCGTTATCTAATTGGTCACCGATATTTATAGCTGCTTCGACTTCTCATTGCAATTAGTCCGTTATGGCACCTCAGCTGTCCTGCAAATTGAAAGCATAATCTCTAAATGGATTCGCAAGTATCGCCCTGATATCTCTCGTTAGGCTTTTACAGCTGTCGCATTTTCCCATTAAAATGTCCCAACAGTCCTCGTAGCCTGCTGCATATATTGTCTTTATTTTGAATACATTTGGTTTTCAGTACACCCAATTTAGCTCATGCCGCGTCGATCTCACATATCATATTTATAGTCTATCCAATTGAAACTCTTCAGAGAACGCGGCACACTACTTCATTATCTCGTCGCAATTACCCAGTAGATGTATATTACAGTGATCCGATTAACGTAATTTATCCATTACCTTGCTTCAGTAGCCGTTTGTATTATACCATATCATCCACTTGAAGTAATTGAAACTACACCTAATCAATAGATTTTATTGTACCAGCCTTGTGCAAGCGCATCAGCCCATATAAACTGTGTTATTTTTTTTTTTGCAATTAGCGTATTATCGTAGCACATGTAACCTGCTAACTAAGATTTCAAAATGTTCAATATGAATCCGAAGAACTTATGCTTCTCTTTATATATATGTCTATGTTAACTTAGAATAGATAGACGCCCGTGCAAATCCTTTTTGACACCTGAGAATCAAAACGTTTTTGTTGAAAGGAAACTAGCTATTGGCATGTCGTTATCCGGTTATGTTAATAAGTAATCCTTGTCTTCCCGTCGAAACGTTTTGTAATCCCAGTGCGTTGCTATACTTGCCCTGCTTTCCATTACCATTGACCGGTCTCAAAACGTTCACATTAACATGCTTTAAAACAGATCAGCAAGTTCATCCGAAAGTATCGTTTTATCCGCCAAAAATAAAAACGGGTAATCCGATTTTCCGTCTATTTTGTAGAACCAGTTTCTCGAAATACTTAAGGCTTCTTGAATAAATTACCCATTTAGCCAAAACTTGCAAGACGACACGCTAATAATCGACCAAAGCCAGGTTAAAGCATATCGTAGCAGACGACTCGACAGGAACGAGCATATCAACAAACCGAAAAATGCTTAGACGGACAGACATATATTTCTAACATATATTAATATGATATAACATATAGGTTAGGTAGCTAGCGCCACCTAACGAGACGGCCCCAGCATGTTGATTATGTGGTTTCACACAATCAAATCTCTGACTGTTACCTATATAGTATAAAGGAGGCCGGATATTATTTTGTTTACTGAATGCTGAAATGAACCTTGGCCTCCGCGAAAATAGCTCTTCGGATTGTGTATCTCGAGACATAGGTTTTTTTCCAACAAGTCAGTAGAGATTTCGTTTGACAGAAAAGCGTTACGAGGCTTTATTATTGAAATGGCCGCTCTTTAATATTGGACGATTGTCAATCAAGAGATCGATTAAAAAAGATTAGTACTTTAACTATATTCTGGAATAAAATTTTGCGATTAGATGCTAATAGAGGAAAGGCAAGTTTTGGCACCAACAATTGCAACATGATTGGAAAACTTTTAAACATAATAACATTCATAATTAATCAAATAAGATACACCGTTTTCGCTATCGATTGGAAAAATCAATAGTAATTTCCTACACGGCGATTCGATCTCTCACGAACGTTATCTCAACGCTATAAGGATCTGCTTCGAATACTGTTATCAGCGTAGGTAACTCGCAAGTACTACTCATTCTTATTCTAAATCAAGAGCTGACACGAGACGTAGTACTTAATAAGGTTAATTAATAATTAGTGTAATAGAAAGAGTAGAATATGCAAATAAGCTAGGAAAAATTATCGTTTTATATATATATATATATATATATATATATATATATATATATATATATATATATAACCGCGATCATTTTAAAAGATAAAGAAATAACATTTGAAAGCCGTATGACGTCTCTAGTTGTTCGAGTCGCATTACGTTAAATAGGAATGTGTTTATACTTTAGCTGTCAGTGAGCTTTTTTAATTAGATCATCATAATTTCCGATAGGCAGTTTGCAAGTGTACCGTGACGAGAAAACAATTAGCCCATAGTGTGTTTTCAGTGACTGATAGGACGCGATCATGTTGGCTGGCTGGCGATTCCGCGAGACATAAAAGAATACAGTCTAGAACAATGACAGTCGCTCATCATCGTTCGAATTTAGGTGAATAGGTTCACCCAGCTTTAGCTCTGCTTCGCTTCACTATGTGAACTGGTGCTTAAGGCTCTAAATGTGTGTCGCCGTTTGTTATTAGAGGTTCAAGACTGCAAGGTATTCGTCGGGAGTTTGAAGTACGTAGTCAGCTACATAGAAAATACGTCGTTTCTATAGTGTAATATGCATTATCAGCATGAAGCACAGCCTTAAGCTAGGTTAGGTGACGTAAAGGGTAACGTGTTTGTCTGCTCGATTTGAGAGCCACACGATCGTCTGGGTCCTAATCTGAGGACAGAGAGAGTTTGTTTCGTGCTGGGAGCCAGCACGTAAACCAGCATGAGACATCTGAGTTAGGTTAGGTGCAAAAAGCTCGTAAAATCATCAAAAACATATACGGGTTGTACAAAATTTTGGAAATAATTAGCTACTTTACAAAAACGTAGGAATAATCTTTATTGGATTGTGGCGTATCACGGAAAGTCAATAAAATCAAAAATTTTCGGTAACTCAGTTTTTTTAAATTAAGTCAGCAGATTAAAGAAAAACTCGTATCCGGTGTAAATGAAACCGACTAGCATTATTAACTCAAATGTATTCCAATTGAGTTGAAGTTAGGATAGGGTCGTAACCATTGAAGGCATAAATCATCGTACACATATTGACATGAAGTATATACGTTATCGTAGGTAGAGTAATGCCTCCGTCTGAGAGAGAGCTTCTGAACTTTAATTTTCGATTTAGTAGCATTCGTTAATTAGTTTAAGCAACTAAAATGTTTAAGTGTCAGCAGTCTTCTGCATGTATTGATATCGGATGGTATCTGCATCACATATAGTCATTATACACAAAGACAATTTCTTCAGACAGCCAGATGCGTTTGTTTATCCAGTTAATTCATGTGTATCCAGCCATTACTTCTACGTCGATGTATTTTACCAATATCGCGAGATTCAGATATATGAAAATAAAGCATGTGCTTAGTTGATCTAATACTTCTTTGTCGATTGTGTTTTAGCCAAATTATCGGAGTACATAGACGTAGACTTGTATCTGAGTTTGTTATATGTTATGTTTCTGTTTATGCAGCTATGTATGTATGCTTTTTTTGCTTATATTGTCTATTGTCCCTGCACTCACCAGAGATGGCTGTGAAAATGATGGCGGTGAGCACGGAGCCGACCAGGTAGCGGATCCACGAGACATCTTCCGACAGCATGGCATCGTTCGTTCCTTTCCTTGATCTGTAAAGCAAATCACCGTTATCACGTCAGAGTAGCTCGCGCAGTAAAGGTCACAAAAGGAAGATATAAATAAAGGGGACTAAAAAGAAGCAAACATGGCTGAGCCGAAGCTGTAAGTAGGACAAAAGGCCGACCCCAATTTCCCCTGGCCAGGAAGCGGGTCGCAAAAACACGATGAACAGCAAAGATGGATGATTAGTTTTAGCTTTTACGTGACGGGACAGGGTATGGCCTAGACAAAAAAGGAAAAAGTGGAAATAAAAGATCGCAGCGTTCATGACCGCATAAACGGAAATGCATATTTTACGACCACCTCAAATTCTTCTCTACCAACGGTCACGTTGCTTTGATAACGAAAAGGAAAAGCCCAAATTATTGACTCATCAAAGCTATTACCTCGCGTCCCGCACTACTGGAGGCCCTTCTGAACACATATCTCTTCGCCCTGTTCTTCTACTTGATAACATGATGAAACCGCACATAAAGTCCTTTGCTTCCTCAGGAGCGGCATAACACAGCAGGCAGTGGCGTACTTGCTTCTTAACTGCTTTCTATGACCACTTTACCAAGAAAACATAAACTCAATACAAAATATGAACCCTTATCCCGGATAAAATTGACAGGGCAATACTATCTATTCGTAAAGTGGAACACGAAGTCAGAGGATGTCAGAAGGCAGAAGAAGTGGAGTTCGTTATCAAATAAGATTGGATTTTCGTGCTTGTCAGTAGTATGGGAGTTAATAAAATAAACTTGTATTCTCATTTTTTTGACAATATTTTTGAAGGATGAAGGCTGACCTTTATAGGTGTTAACCAAGATGAACAAGCATAGAAATACGTCTAGATGCACGGGAAGATGTCAATGCACCAAGAATACAACGGAAGTGCCGAGGCTCCTAGGAAGGTCATTACCTAGACTATTCTCTTTTCCTTATGACCTAGTTTAGGCTTTATTCTTTCTCCGTAGGTCGTGGACGACAAACACGGGCCTCCAAAGCAGATCTACTTTTCGTTCACCGCCTTCATCTTTGTGTTTGCTAGTCCCGCGCACGCCTTTGCCGTCAGAAGAGACGCGACGGCAGGCTCACTTGTACGATCCAAGGAAAGATATAATGATGACCATAAAGTGATGATATTTCCCAAGCATGGATTTGAGATGCATGCTTTGCTAACACGTCGCAGAAAATAGTACAGCTGTAAGAATACGACATTCCAAGGCTTATACGCTTTTCCCTCTTTAGAGTTCTGACACATTATAAACCAGCGACAGCAGTAGTACAAGCAGTTTTAGCACTTGCAGAAAGTAGTGCCTACAATGCCGTCCAGCCCCGAAGCCTGTCCCGGCGTATGTAGTGATAACATTACAGCGGTGTTGATGATGACTTGAGAGTCAGGGTAAAATGTGCTAGGCGTATTTTCGTTTCACTCCATTCAGTCATTGGTTGCCTGCTTGCGCCCATCTTACGTTATCACCGCACACGAGCTGCGCCGCTCGTGGCAACTTCCGCGAAACCCATCCTACATCTTTTGACAAATCTAGGCGAAACTTCTAACTCGCCCCAACAGCAGGTTCCGTGGCTGCCCCGATGCCCTAAGTGTAACCCTTTGGTCTTTACCCTCCATGGACATACGCCGGGACCGACGACGCCGAACAGCTGCGGCAATAGTGCCGCACCCGACAACGACGTTCTCAGCCCACCAGCAGCGGTGCTTATTCCACTGCTACTATTACGAGAACCAAAAAGAGTTCGTGCTTGCTCTTCGTTGCGCCCCTCGGCCCTTAGCTACTAGTTTTTGCTGGAGAAGTGTTAAGTTTCTCTCCCAACTTTAAGTCAACTTGGCTCAAATTTCGTTGATTCCAAAGTTTAGATGATCTAAACTACCCCATAAGCAGAGAGTACTGAATACTCTACGGCCATATCTATCCACTAGATCAATCGACCTGCAAAAGCGACAAAAGTTCGACTGCTCCCAGTTCTTTCTACGATACTTCGCAGCGATCTACAGGGCACCAGCAGAGGATTATTTGGCGACCTTGTGTAAGCTAAGCCTATTGCCCTCGCTGTCGCAAGTGGCGATACCAAACGAAAAACCTGAAGATAAAGGCATCGACAAAAGTGAGCATATAACCTAAACCGGGCAATTTCTTATTCGCAATCAGAATAAAAAGGTAAGAGATGTAGATATTTGGCTGGAAACGATTCTCCTCAAGAAAGTAATGTCTGCCTGCGCTGTTGGATGTGGCATATGCTCAGACGTTCTCGTTCATTTGGAATTTAGTTCAGCATCATTATGTTAGCCATCGATGTCGACAGGTACTCTTGCATGAGCATAGTTGCGTGGCATCCAAAGATTTTTCGAAATACTGCATCTAATGCTATTGCAAAGGAGTATCAAGGTGATGCGGATCAAATCTCGTTGTGCTGTTCTCAGCCATTCGAGATCTCGCTCCGTAAAAAGCTGATCCCAAGAATGGGCTTTAAAGCACAATTCTGAGTGGCAGATGCGGTCTTGAGAGGTATTCTGCGAATCGTTTGATTGCTTCATATTTTGTTTCGGATGCATACTATAAAAATGGCCATGGTTCCACGTGAACATTTAGTTTTGTCCTATTCTTGGATATCTTATCCTAAACCACTTCAAAAGCCAGCCGAAATAGACGCTCTCGCAATAATGAAAGTAGCATAGGCAATCTGAGACTTCACAAATTCGGTACCAGAAACGACGCGGAAAATATGATTTCTGTTATTTAGATAGTCTATAAATGTCTGAATAAACATAACGGCATCTGTGTTCGTCGAAATATCTGGTTCCTAGCCTTTTGCCGGGTTCAGGCCCTGGTGAAATTTCCGCCACACATACTGCAGCGTTGGACAATTGTATTTTAATAAATAGCATGCATATGTTCCTCCATAGAAAAAATAATGTCAGCTTTGGAACAAAGCAAACGATATTATATTTCTTCATTAATATCTGCATATATATGAGCCAGCATATCCGCAGTGATCTCAAGTCTGATCTCATACCATATATATACATGTACACGATAAGAACATGTAGGAGCAGAAAGCATTTCCTGACACAGCAGAAGTAATATTTTGTAAGTAGGAACTCTCGTGTAATTGTTAAGCTTTACTTTGATCGACTTTAGATAACCAAGAAAGCAGCAAAAAAAGTTGATTCTTTTTTCTTCCGTCACCTTTAAGGCAAACTTATAGGCTAATGTGATGTTGACATGCGCCGTCAGTGACTGAGTAGACATGCACACACAAAAGTCCGATGGAGAAAGACAACAAATATTACGTAAGATACGAAAGCTCGGTATCGAGATTTTCGAATGGACCTTATTCTGTCCCTTAGCTTCTTAGTAAATAGTCAGAATTAGGTGTAACTTCTTGTTCAACACAGACGCGTATTTTCTAATGGACTACGCTATACTAAATTATTACAGAATAAAAATTAGAAGTTGTTGGTTTTCATTTTTCCGTGGGGTCCAGATGTTCCGGAATGATGTACGCATATGAGACGATCCTAGTTAGGAAAAAAACTTGCCTACACGATTGCATCCGTTTGACCTACGGGGTCGTAAGAAATATATTTCTACGCCACGAAAAATCCAACCATTCAATAATATTGTGTTTCTATTTGAATAAATATCTATAGTACTGGTTCTTTACGTTAACTCAATGCATGAGCGCTTTCGTATGTACGGACATTAACTATAGTATCAGCCTAATCCGCTTCGACACATAGGAATTATACGTTTTTCTCTCGAACGTTTTTCTAGCGTGCATTGGGCATTTCATATTTGAAAATGTAAAAAGCTAACTTTAGCTGAATAGCTATATGGTATCCTATGAGACGCAACAAAAGTGTCCCGATAAATGGTGTATGTATGATAGATTTTAGCGTGAGGAGGCATTTAGCATTGAAATAAATGTAACCATTATCAATGGCCACACACAAAATCTACATAACCTCCATAGAGTTTATGACTATTCTAAGTTTATGGCGTTGATATATCAGTGTGCTTTCGGGTTTTCTCTTAAAATTCTTGCAATGATTTGCGGAAGTATTTTGATTTGCCATCATAAACAGCAGTCTTATTGCCATAGGATATCTGTCAGATTACAGAGTCGTTTTTCTCAAAATGCTCATTGGCGGCACATCCATCTATCGACACACAATCTCGATGACATTCACCAGCCATTTTGGGGAAAATTTGCCTAAACCGTTCATTCTAAACATCACAAATCGTTCATCATAGGCAAGTACTCACGTATCTGCTGTGCCAGTGCTACCGGATTGACGAGACGGCCTTTGCTACTCATGGAGCGACGTTTCTATGCGGCAAACACAAATTGTGTATGTGTATAACGAGTGTTACGTTTCTCTAACGGTCGTGAGCATATTCTATCTTCTGCCGTTTATAGTGGTAGTGCCATCGTAACGTGCTTTTCGCGGCCGTGCAGCGTGTTGATGTGGGGTTACCCGCTGTAAAGGAACGCCAGAGCAAGGGGCGAGCATCAAGGGAAAAGTAAGTGCTGTCGTTGGCAGAGAGGAAGGAGCGATTCTTACTCGCACAAACGGTGACAGGTGTCTTGTCAACTCCGCGCGTTGATTCGCTTGTTGCTTTCTATAACAGCATTTTCGGCCTAGCTGCCTAGAAGGCAGTTAGAGATGTTTGAACGACAGAACGGTAAACGATACCACAAAGATATGTTTACCAAACCTGTGAGCCCTCACAGATCCTCAACAAGTAGAAAAACATCCTTACAGCCCAGTCGCGCGTGCTATGTGCCCTTGAGGTGTAAAGGACACTCGTAGACGATGATATTATGTATATTAATGTGGACGTGTGTTTACTCGTTCGTGTCTGAGAGTAAAAGCGTTCAAATAGAAAAGGTTTCACTGAAAGCGTTTTCCTTTATGAAGATACTGATTCGAAATGGCATCGATCCGCGCACGGGCCGCTATTGTCGTAGTCTGTCGCTGGAT